TCAATGGTCTGACGACTACGGCATGCACGACTATGAGTTCACCCCCCCCTCCGTATGCAAGGAAGGATGCACAAGATGCCGCACACCCTTCGCAGGATGCAACGCACCCTCCATACGACTCGCAGAATACTTCACGGCTCTTCGCGCTTGGTGATGTGAGAGCCTGGTTCGGTGAGAACCCTGCGCGTGCTCCGTCCCGGCCTTGAAGGGATGGGAGGCCAATGGTCTAACGACTACGGTGACGCACGGCTATGAGCACACCCCATGCCCACCCACCCCCCCCTCCTTTCCCCTCCGAGTGGACAGACCCGGCTCACTCGCGCTCCGAGAAGGGGGGGGCCGCGGACGGAAACCTGGGTATCCTCTGGTTGTGGCGTTCGAAGACGGTTTTTTCTTGTGCGATCCTTCCACCGGGAGGCGTATCGCTGCCGCTGCGGCTGCCGGAGCGGAGGACGAGTACGAGCAGCTGCCCAACACCCGACTGAACGACGGCAGGTAAGAGGCGAGGAGGGGAGGGGCAGCTCAAGTCATTTTTGTGAGCATGTTGTTATTGTTGAAGCACCGACCGCGTAGCGACGTGCTGATCGATTGATCTCGGCGCGACTTAGAACGGAAAACGCTCCTACATGGCAATGGTATGGGGGGCCGTGAGGGAGTGCGTGCCTTTTTTGTCTGTGTTTGTTGTTTTGTTCTTTGATCGGGTCAGTTTATATCCGGTCGACCATTACAATTCACCGAGGTGCACTGCTTTTTCATGTCGTGTGCTCGTTAGCACCAATCGTGTCTACTAGTTTGACCAATGAGAACACGTGGGAGGTATTTAGCGGGTGCTGGTACGTGCATGCTTGTTTTTTTGCGCCCAATGCCACGCTGTGGTAAGAGGCCGTATGCGGTGTGGATGGATGTTGTCCCCCTCCCGCTCTCTCTTTCATGCGCTCTTCACGCGTTGAGCATTGGTGCTCCAGCAGTCGGCAGTACAACATACCTGCTCGATGAAGGTTTGCAAGTTGCGGCGTGATGCACGTCCATGACGCCGAGCCCGCCGTTTTTGTTCTCTCTTGTGCTCGTGTTCTACTTTTATGTTCAGGTGCGATCGCCAAGGTCGCTTCTTGTGCGGCGGGATTAACCTCGAGAACATCGACCAGCCGCCGGACGTGTGGAAACCTCGAGCCGGCGTGTTTCGCCTCGAGGAAGGGAAGGGGGTGCGGCGGATCCTCCCCGATGAGGTAACGTGTTGGTGGTGTTGTTGTTTATGTTGTTGTGTTCGAAGAGAGTACCGCCGCTACTTTTGGAATTAATCTCTAGTTTCATTCGAATAGTCACCGCGGTTCGAGACTTATATGTGTGACCTTCCCATGTGACTTGGCAAGGGTGAAGCTCCCCAGTCTAACACGATTTCAGAAGAGTACACACAATACTCGGAGTAAAATATAGCGCAGGCGTGCAAGCCACAAGCCCGTGGAGTAGTGGTATTCAACGCCGGCGATCGCGACCGCCGGTTTAGCTTCATGCGCAGGTCCGCAGGTTGGCTTGCAACGGTGTGCGATAGCCTTATCTACGCTCAAGCAGGGGACTTGAATACAATAGCAATGGGTAGGAATCGCTCTGGCTCGTGCGAGAAGGTCGATACAAACGTTAGAAGATCAGAACACTCAGTACTTGCTTCCAAGGGTGCAAGAGTGAGTGCGTTTCGCTGTTACGTTACTGATTCATGTGCGTGGTTTATGCACTGCCCTTGCTCTAAACCCAAGGGCGTGGTCAATCGTGGTCTGACGGCTACTCCCCGAAGTTCGAATATTGTGCTTCGTTGTGAGTTCACGGAAACTATGTTGAAGGTTTGAAGATGGACATCACTTTCTCAACCTTCCGCGCGATACAAGTTGAACGTGTGCACGGCAGAATGAATCCTGCCCCGTTGCTGACACGCTCCAGCCCCGGGCGCCCAGACCAGTTCGGAAAAACGGCGCAACACGTGCCACACTTTGTCGATACCACGACCCACGCGGCTCCCCGAAGAACTTGGGTGTCTCTCTTTCATGTCATCTATTCAGGTCTCTGTTCCTTACACTGTCCTGGGTGTGGGTTCTTTTATTTGCGATCACACAGCAGCGGTATTCCTGCAGCAGCCACGACGTCGTTTGTTCTTCTCCGCCCCAACAGCAGTGCTGCGAAACCGGAAGCGGCTTGTGTTTTCGATATCGTCCCTACGCGGCCTCATATTCCTAGTCGTCGGCCCCCCGTCCTTGTTCTCGACCAGGAGTTTCGGTGCTACAACGGCACCTGCTTCTCGCCGGACGGGCGGACCATGTACGCGGCGGAGACTCCCCTGCAGAAGATCGCCCGCTACGACTACAACCCCGACACGGGAGACATTTCGAACAAGAGGGTGTTCGTCGAGCTCGAGGCAAGCCGGGAATACAGTGAATGACACGAAGCACGAGAGTTGATTGCTGTGGGAGTGAATGGAACAGTCCAGCAGGAGTAGTTGTGGACGTTGCGGGAGTCGCGCGTGAGTCAGATATCAAGGAAGGGAAAACGTGGGCTGCGTGGCTCCATCGGTTGTACATCAGAACTGGGTGGGGTTGGAGTGATCGCTAAAGAGTGATTTCCGCCAGTCTCGACTTCGTGGCGACTCACTCAAAGAGTCTGTGAAAGTGTGTAGACCATGTGGAATGTGTTGTGATAAGTTTTTTTACATCTTCGAGAGTATGAAGATAATGAAGAACATTGGTTCCTTTTTTCTTCTTTGGACATGGGAGTTTGTCAAGAACCTTGGATTCTTGCGTGTGGACCACACGGAATAATCGTGGGGGTTTGGCTGCGATATGTTGTCACGGGCATTTGTCGAGAGCTTCGGATTGAAGAAGGGCGCCTGAGAGAACCAGTAGACTCGGTGCTTTCATCGCCATTTTTATGAAATGATGTAGCGCCAAGGAGTGGAGGTTGTTTTTCGTTGTACGAAGCGCTTGTTCTCGAGAGCGTTGTCGTTGAGTGATCGACCACAACCGGGTTTCGGGGCGACCGTGTTCGACAAGGGGATACCCTCCCAGAGCGATGACGGAGAAGGATGGTGGCGCGGGGAGGGGGTGGACGTGACAGACGGGGCCCAGAAGTTGCCGACCCTCTCATGGGTGTTGGATGCTTGACAGGACTCACTCGAGTGGCGGAGTAAGGGCAGGTGTTTGGTCCCTTACACACAACGGGGTCCTGTTGTAGAAGAGAACAATCTTCGCCCCTCCCTTTGTATGTGCTTGATCCGCCTTTCGCGAAGGAGCGGAATCACACCCCTTGTTGCCGCGCTCCCTCGACCGCAGCCTCGGTGTTTTCGCCCCCTCCCCTGCGCATGCGGGAAAAAAACGGATGAGCAACAACTCCTGGCCCTCGCTTATCTTTCTTTGGATGGGCCTCGCTCGTTCCTCTACACCCCCCTTGCTTGTTTTTTTCAGGAGGGATACCCTGACGGCGCAACCGTGGACACGGAAGGTTGCGTTTGGGTTGCCATATTTAGCTGCGGGGAGGTCCGCCGATTCAGCCCCGAGGGGGAGCTTCTGCGGACAATTCCGGTGAGTTGCTGTGTCAAAGGCTGTGTTTTGTAGAGGTGGTTATGCTGTTGTTTCTTAATTATTGAACCCTCCTGTCTCTGCTAATCACCTTCTACCATCCATGCCGGTCCAAGTAACGCGTAATATTATGCCGTTCATATTTTACAAGTACCGTTGAGTCTCTGCTCAGCGCCTTCTATCATCCATAGCGGTCCAAGTGACACTGTATATTGTACCATCCATGTTTTGCTATTCCGTCTCTGCTGGACACCTTCTCTCATCCATACCGGTCCAGCTGGCACTTCATCTCATACCATCCATATTTTACCATTTTGTCTCTGCTCAGCACCTTCTATTATCCATACTGGTCCAGCTGACACTACATATTATGCCATCATTCTTTGCCATTCTGTCTCTGCTCAACGCCTTCTATCATCCATACCGGTCCAACTGACGCTGTATATTATTCGATCCATATTTTACCATCGTGTCTCTGCTCGATACCTTCTTTCATCCATACCGGTCCTGCAGACACTTAATATTCTACCATCCACATTTTTCCATCCTGTCTCTGTTCAGCACCTTCATTCATCCATACCAGTCCTGCAGACACTTAATATTCTACCATCCACATTTTTCCATCCTGTCTCTGTTCAGCACCTTCATTCATCCATACCAGTCCTGCAGACACTTAATATTCTACCATCCACATTTTTCCATCCTGTCTCTGTTCAGCACCTTCATTCATCCATACCAGTCCTGCAGACACTTAATATTCTACCATCCACATTTTTCCATCCTGTCTCTGTCCAGCACCTTCATTCATCCATACCGGTCCAGCTGACGCTTCATATCATGCCATCCATTTTTTTCCATCCTGTCTCTGCTCAGCACCTTCATTCATCCATACCGGTCCAGCTGACGCAGACACCTTCCGTGGTCACAGGCCAACAACGCAAAAGAGTACTGTTAGGGGTGTCCATCGGGCAGATTTTGGAGCCAAAAATGTGACGGGTCTATTCAGCGATTTTGGGGGGGGCACACGGATTGGGTTCTTTTTCGGCTCTTGAGAGTGCCCGCCTATTATTCTGCTTAAAGACTACATCACTCAGTTTGTTTGTGCAGGTAGTTCTGCGCCCAGGCAGTAGCGTGGCCCTTCATACGTTACACACACCTGGACACAAGTCCAATAGAGGCGGCTGTAAGCTCGGTTTTGTCTTTTTAAAGGGCGGACGAACAACACCAAGAATGTTTTTTTGAGCTCTTTGCTCCACGCCCAAGGCGACCTTTGCTCCTCTCGAAAAAGCGAGCTTACAGCCCTCTACCTTGGGTTTACAGCTATACCCCACAACAACCCGCATCCGAACCGCATCAGCCAACCACGAGATCTACATGTCTGAAAACGGCCCCTCCAGTGGGGCTGCTGCGCCCACACCAGCACACCCTCCCCCCCCCAAAAAATCGAGGTCCGTGCCGTTCGGCAGCAGGAGGCGCGCTGCGCGAAAGTTGAATCAAAACAAAACGGAGTTTGAAGAGAGGACGGGGCAGTGTATGGTTGCCGCGTCAGCAGGATAACACGCGGCGGGCTATCGAATGCGGCAGCCTCACCGTCGTAGAGAGAACGCTGGAGGAAACGAAGGAGGAGTTGGTCAAAAGTAAGAAAATTGTGGAAGAGAGCCAGGCTCAACCTCGCTGCTGCCGCCGCCGCCGCCGCCGCTGCTGATGCTGCTGTTTTTTTCAGCAGCAGCAGCGGCGGCGGCAGATGTCTGCGTGGCTTCACCGCCCGGCTGCTGCTCGGGTGTGTCATGAGGCATGTGTTCTAGAGTGGGACCGCGCAAAGGTGTGGTGTTGTGTCCCACAGCAGGGCACATCAGAGCACACACACGAGCGGCGCCCTCGCGCGTGCGCGTCAGGTGTTTATAAGGAGCTTTCGGACCGGTCCGTGCAAATTTATTGATCAGTCGATTTTCCATCAGGAAGATCCGAGGTCACTTTTTCAATTTTTTTCCTATAGGAAATTTGCTGCTTTGACACCCCTAATTGTATACGTTACAATGAAAACAATACGAGCAAGACCTCATTCATCGATTTTGTATACCCGATATCCAACACGCCAACGGACAAGGCAGCACGATGACTGAACTGAGGAAGTTGCGATGCGAACTGTGTTGAAATAAGCTCACTGGAATTCATCGAGAAAGCGGGTTCTACGTTCTGCAGTTTAAGAGGAGATGGCGGTAGGTAACCCATGTTAGATTTTGGATCTATTGGATGTTGAGCGGAAGCCAGTAGCAGTGACTTTTCCGTCAATGCTCAACCGGCCAATCGACGGCTGTTTTTGAAACGAAAGTGTAGTAGCTTGGTCATTACCCCGCCGTTGCCGTATTTCACGCTTTTCTCACTTTCCCTGAAGTTTAGGGGCGCGTCAACCCGTTCCTCATTCTAACATATGTTACTCGGTCATTTGATTGCTTACAGTAATATACGTCCGGACAGCCCCACTTCATAGGCACCAACTGTTCCTCCATACCTCATCTTGTCGGCTTCCATCCACTGGTCACATGTCGTGCGAAGTCCTTTGTCATTTTATTCTCTGTGCCACATCCCTTGTCATTTTTCTCTCTGGTCCAAATTCCATTGTCGTTTAATTCTCGCCGTGCAGGTTCCCGGAGCGAAAAACACGACCTGCGTGGCCATTGGGGGGCCCGACCTCGACATCCTCTTCATCACGTCCGCAAGGTGAACGTTCTCTTGGAGAATCTCGCTCCTGCTGGTGTTGCCATTGCCGTTGTTGTTGTCATCGTGGTCTGAAGTGATGGTGGTGGGGGGAGCCGGTGCGTCGGCCCGCTCGTCGCTACTTGTTCACCTGCTCTCGCCGCAATTCCATTCGTACCGACAAGACGTGCGCTCACGAAAGGGCGGCGTTCGTCATCCAGGTCCATCTGATGGTGTCGTAGGACTCTCCCCTTCGCAGCACAATGATGACCTTTTTGCGTAGCACTGGGTTCCTAGGTACGCGTGCTTTCGAAATGGCGATAGTTAGCAAACATGACAAGAGGGTGGCTATTTCGATTCGACGCAAGGTGTTTGACGGCGCGGGGGGATTTCGTTTTTGTTTTTTTCAGCCCAAGTATTTTCCCATTGCGGGGTCGTCCTGAACTCCCAGTGGTGTTTTCCACCGACGAAGTTGCGGTTCGTGTGGTTTCGCGTGCATTTTCTCTCCAAATTCATTCGTCAAACGGCGGGAACCCCCCCCCGACGTCGCTCTTCTGCAGGCCTTTGGAGTTACTTCTCCCCTACAAAAACAACAACGAAAAAATGGGCGGTACATTGGTAGTCTAGATGGCAAACGAGTCATCCCCGCCCCCCCGTCCCCCTCCATCCCATTCCCCCATGCCATCGGGGTGTCAGCCCCTCGTGGATTTTCCCCCATATTGTTATTGGTCGCCGTTGCTCTACGTCCTCATGATATGATACCATATACTCTCTATTGCTGCCAGCGTGGGGCTCAACGACCAGCAGCGCATGGAGCAGCCCAACGCCGGAGCCGTGTTCGCGATCCGGCTGGAAGGGGCCAAGGGGATTACGGAGCCGCGCTTCCGTGGATGAGAGCCCATATCTTGTTTTCCCTGCAACTACTTTGTGTTTCGTGGACTTTGGCTGTTGCTATTTCGTTGACGGTTGCTGGTCGTTCCAACTGTGCGTGTGTATTTTTTTTTCCTCTTTCATGTTACCGTCGCAACGCCTTTGGCCCCTTTTTGCGCAAGTTTGGGGTGACACAGACAAGAAATGTTCTGGGGTGGGGGGTTGTTGGTACGAGTAAAAGGTTTCGGCAGTCCTTGGAAGCCTATCAACGGCCTGGAGTGACTTTCACTCGGGGAGAAACGTGTGTATGTCTTCATTGGTTCTCGTTTCTTGTTTCGACAGTCCTCCCTATTGCTACGCTGTGAAAGATTCCAAGGCAGAATCGACTCGCCTATGAGTGTTCTTTTTCGTGTCAAAGACGACAAAAAATGGCTACGACTTCGGCGGTTGGTTTTTGATGCAAGCAAGGTTAGTCGTGGGCAATTCTCGATGGCAAATCACCAGCAAGAAATCAAGAAAATTCTAATGAATGTTGCACCTCGCGTCGCCGGAGTAGCTTCACGTATTTTGCGTGGTGGACCTTGGTCTGAACGGTTGTCCGAGTCTTGATTAGTTTAGCGATGGTCCTCCACTGCTCCCCATAACGCTCCAGTCCATCCAGGAAATCGGAGTTCTCCTGCTTTGTCCAGCGGCCCTTCCCCATGGTCGCGCGTTTGCGCTTGTTGGTGCTTCATGCGATGAAAACAATCATGGATCGGATGTGGTGCCCGTCGATGTTAGAGTGGCGGGAGGCAGGCAGGACCGGTGCATACAATGATATTTGGTACTGTAGGTACCACGATGCATGAGATGTTTTCATTTACTTCGTGGAGCCCAGCATAACCGAGGATCTGACCCTAAAGGAGGATCTGACTCTCTCAACCCCCTTGTGGTGACATCGTGTAGCTGTTGGCTACACTGCTGTATTGATTTTTTCCCCGCTATTCGCGTTGCGGGCCGAGACACGATACATGACATACAATTGACCCGTTTGTGTACATAGATGCCCCGTTGTCGCCCAGAAGGTGGGGATTTGAAAGCAAGCCAACACCGTGAAGCCGCTGCTGAACAGGATCGGAAAAAAGACAGACAGCAACGCCAAAGCCCCCCCCCCCCGCATCTCTCTCTCGATGGCGGATTTTTTTTTTTTAGAAAGTAAACAAGTAAGCATAACCTCACAGATAGACCACCCGTTCGAGATATAACCTCAGTCGAAAGGGATGTGGTGAAGTCTTTTAAGAAAGTGGATTGAAACCAACTGGAGACTTTATTTTTTTCTTCGCTCTTCAACATATGGTCCCGGAGGTGGCGTGTACATGTGACGCCCATGCGTGGTGCGCGACCACCCATGCATATAAGGAAAGCTGACTAGAGCGTGACGTGATGGCGCTGCTTTTGGTGCGAAAAATATCCAGATCCGAAACAAAATTGTCGTGAGACCTTGCACGCGGGGCAGTCTAGACGACGATATATTCCGTTCGCGGCGTGGGGGGTTTGTTCTCGGCAACGTCTGCACGCGCAACAAGCAATACATTTTGCAAGACCCTGCTGCTCCATCACACGCCAAAAACAGCAAGCTTGATCTGTTGTCCGTCTGTGCCTCCCCTTCAAAGTTGCCCCGGGGTAGGGAGCACGAAAAGCGGGAAAACAAACGACTACTGACACATGACACGCGAGCGAAAGGATCCGTTACATGGGGTGGAGGACCGCACTGGTAAGAGACAGCCTTGATCATGCACGTACAGCAGTAGTGAAATCGCATGCCAACCGAGAACCTGCCTTTCTTTCGAGGGAGAGCGCACGTCCGCAGCTTGGTTCCCTGGGCCTACTACGCGATGGCAAGCGCGACTAAGGATAAGATCCGGGTGTGCGAATGGCAGGCGCGGTTGCTGCTCGTTACATGTAGTCTAAGAATCGTCGTCCTTCGTCATCATCACGTCAGGATTCACGAAAAGATACCTGGAGGCATCCCTGCTGCCATTGTTGTTGCTGCTGGAACTCGCGCCACCGACGGCCGCCTTTGGCGAGCCCCTCTCTTCTTGCGTTATTCCGCTGGTGGACAGAGAAGCCATCCTGCTTCTTGCTGACAGCTGCTGGCGCTGTGCTCTTCTGCAAGGAATAAATGTTTGATAGGTGCGGCGAGATTTTGGTGAAGAAGCACCAAGGATCGTGATTCCGCGGCGGTATCTGCGTTGTTGTTATGATGATCACTAGGGCCGGTTCGAGAGAGTTGGGAGTTGTCCTCTGAGTCGAAGGGGGGAAGGGAAACCTTCTTCTCCGAGAGTGCTGTGAGGAAATCCCTGCGGCGTGCTGTGTGTGTGCAGAAAATACTCGCTGAGATGCCAGATGAAGTATGACAGCAGTGTGGTGCGCGGCCGGAAAAACTCCACACACACCAGGGGCGGGGGGGGGTTCCTTGAATGTGCTCTGTGAGCCCCCCCTTGTCAAACCAACACCAGCTGCACTGCTGTGCTTTGCACCACCACGATCTGTCCTATCCTACCCTCTACCCCGAAGGATCGAGGTGAGCTCGTCACTCAGATCAGCATGCAACATGTGATGGGCCCGGTGCGTAAGTGCGCGCTCGATTGTAACGAATTCCTACGGTAGACGTTTTGTTTGAAGTGTGTGCGGCGTGATGTGTGGGCTTGCGGGGGGGGTCAGCGGTGCAAAGCGGAGGGCCACCACTCTGCCTGACATCGTCACCACGCATGCACCATCTAATGGCGCATCGGCGTGGCTTGGGTGGAGCTTGTGGTTGGCTTGGGTGTTTCGTGCATCCGTTGCTGTGCTTACGTTTTTTCTGCGCGCAAATCCTGTTGCCGAGCTGATGGGCCCCAGACCGTTGTGGACCCCCCCCTGGACTTGTTGCAACTTGTTGGTGGAAGGCTGTTGTGTCCTTAGGCGGCACAGGTTGTTCATCGAAGCCATGTGCATTTAAATATTCAGTGGTGGTAGCGTATTGTGCACCCCGATCTTTATTCTGGAAGGAGAGCAGCGATGTGTTTCTGGATGGAATTGTGTGTTGCGTCGCTGTTGTACTCCGATGACATCTACTCTCCTTGCGGTTTGGGCGTCGGGAGGGCTGTTCTGCGTACCGCTTGCAACGGCAGCTACAAGGTGCTCTATGCTACTAAACAAGGACCGCCGCCGGAACACCCTGGCGAATGTGCCGGTCTTATGGTTGCGAAGATCAACGTGAATTGTTTCCGTGGTGTGTGGAGAAACGCATGTCAACAGAGACGTTGTGGGTGATGGCATCACACCGCACGCGGCTCAACCCTCGTGCGGGGTGGATACGTGGATACCATATAGGTTGCGCAAGACACCAACTGTATGCACGCACCATCCCTGGACCAATTTTCGAAGCTCGACTACATACTCCACGACGAGGAACATGTCAAAGTCAATTGATGTGCTCTCGGAAAGCTCTGGACGATACGGTTCCAGCGCCGCCATTTTAGGCACTTATGCGTTACGTGCTGCAGAGTAATCGCGCTGTGAAAATCGGTCCAGGGGATACAATATCTTACGCGACCGAAGGTATTTAGTTGCATTCCGGACGTAGAGGCACGTCCTTCACCTCTTGAAAAAACATTCCCGAAGGACGATTACAACATGCGCCGCCTAATACCCTCTTCCCGCTTCACATTTTTTTGCCGTTCAGGCGTGAGCAAGTGCAGCACCACCACCGGCAGCAGCACCAGCCCACCGAACCCACTCGCACCCGCGGAGCGGTAGGGGCCAGGCAGGCAGTGTCATGTACAACAACGTCGGGATCAGGACCCCCCGGGGCTCAGGCACAAGCGGCCATGTCATGTCCAACAGAAGGTACGCTCTTCGGATGTTGGAACTCGCGTTTTGTATCGAGGCCAACAGCAGCAGTGCTATCATATAGTAGCGCTCCGTAGTGGACGCAATTGCGACATGACGGTAGTCTTCGCTTGCACACTGCAGCAGGCACCCCTCGCACCCGGGATCTGTGCTGAAGCACAGGGCTGGAGCAACAAAACTGGGCTTGGATACTGCACCCCCAGGATCTGTGCTTAATCATGACTGGGACAACAAAAAAAAATCGAGCTCGGAACCCTGCCCCCTCTTGTGTCCTGCCCCTCGTCTCAATTTTGTTTGCGTTCCCGCGAACAACGAACGGCGAAACAAACAGCCACGTGCGCGCGCAGGCGTTTCGCATGGGGATAGACCGCAACACCGGGAAGCTGCAGGCCCGTGACTGGGAGGAGCCACCCCCCCGGAAGGCCAACGAGGAGCTGCTAGACCACCAACGCAAGCGCAAGGTGTGAGTGGGTTGTTTTTGGCGTTCAGTAGTGTTGGGTGGTCCACCACCGTAAATGCTCTTTGCCGTTGTTCAGTACTTCGTAGCCGTTTCCGTTTGTGTCGGTTGTTGTGCGTGCTCGTCTTTGCTGTGCGCGGTCAGAGGAGTTATGTTATGTTCGAGAGGTGAACGTTCTACTAGCCACAGCAACCGCAGCAGTTCGTCCGTTGGGTGTTGTTTCGTACCTGCGGCTTGCTTCGTCGTCGACACATACGGCGATTTCCGCCCGGTCGTCTTTTGTCGGTTTGGCTCTTCGTGTTCGGCTTTATTTTCTGCGCGGCTTTGGTTTCTGCGCTCAGAGGAGGTACTGTCGGAAAGGGTGAACGTTCCGCTAGCCACAGCAATCGCAGCAGGTCGACCGTCGGGTGTTGTTTGGTATCTGCCGCTTGCTTCGTCATCGATATTTTGCCGCGATTTCCGCTCGGTCGTTGTGTCGATGTGGCTCTGCGTGTTCGGCTTTGTTTTTGCGCCCAGAGGATTCAATTGTTCGAGAGGCAAACGTCATGCTAACCACAGCGGTCTCAGCAGAAGTCATTTTTCGTGGAGTATGTGTTTCTACCGCTTGTATCGGCTGCGCCATGAAAGTCGCTTCGACGGCAGCTTGTTTCAACGTCATTGCAGTCCTCTTGTCTTGTGCCACCTACACTCTCGCCGGTCTCCTTTTCGACTACAGTACGGCTGCGGCCACCACTCCGCCACCGTCTACCGTGGCGTTTGACTTGTTTGTGCTGATTTGGTTTGTCATATTTCCGTTGATCTCTCGGATGCACTTCTCAGGTATTTTTATGAGGTGGCATACCCCGCTGGATGTCGCGTCAGTGGGACCCCCTCTGCGGTGCTCGCTCCTTGTTTGGGACGCCCTTCGCCGCCAGCTACGCTCTAGTTGTTGGGATTTTTTTTGTTGGGCCACTCTAGCTAGCTTCTCCGCGGGAGCTGTTGTAATTTCTCTATTGGTTGCTGTTGATGTGGAGAGGCGTTTTTTACCGAGCCATGAACCCAGCGCGTGTCCGTTTTTTTTCTCGCCGGCCGGCTAAGGTGGAAGCCAAGATCTTCGAGCTGCAGGAGGCGATGGCCGACCGTGGGTACAGCGACGCCGAAATTGAGGAAAAGGTAAACACAGGAACATGGTGTTTCCGTCTTATTTTTGGGTTGCTCGGTCTCGCGTGGTTGGCCTAGTGTTGCCACTGCTGCGCGTCGATCACCTCCTTGTCGGTCCGTTAGCCTTGGTTCCCTCCCTCGTGCGGCCACGTGGTGCGGCATGCGTATTGTGCATACTTATTCTCGTTGGTTTGTGTTTCATCAAAAGTGTATTGTCTGCTCCAAAATCACATGTCTGCTTCTGATCGTTCTGTCAGTAGGTTCCAGGTCGCGCCATGTTTCTCGAACCCCGGTGTGTTAGGCGCTATTGAAGTTGTTGTTGTTGTTGTTGTTGTTGTTGTTGTTGTTGTTGTTGTTGTTGTTGTTGTTGTTGTTGCTGTTGCTGTGGGGGTGGTTAGTTGTTGTCGAGCTTGCAGATGCCGACGTCGCTATTTTGTTTCGGTGGTGCCGTTGTCTCGTGTCTCGCGTGCCCCTCCGAAATCCAGGTCGCAGAGGTCCGCAAAGGGCTGGAAGAGCGAGAAGGGAGCGGCCAAAAGGCGTCCCTGCCCAAGGGCAAGAAGGGAACCGGCGCCGGCGGCGGAGCGGGTACCATGGACTCCCACATGCGGGACGTGAAGAAGGCGGACGACAACCGCCGCATGAGGGAGGCGTTCGGACTCGGGGATGACTACGCGGCCGGGGAGGCGTTCGACGAGGAGGCCCAGGAGCGGAAGAAGGAAGCGCGCAGGAAGTGAGTCTTGTCCTAAGGTGGTTGTTAAATGTGTGGTTGGCATTTGTGTCTGTGACTTGGGTAATCACCGACATGTACGGTGTTCGGTTACCAGGAGCGTGTTTTAAGTCTGTACTCGCCAGGTAGTACTGAAGTGAGTAGTGTGATGGCGGCGTAGGCATCAGGAACGTCGATCTTTGGAGAACGTTTTACGTACATCGTTCAGGCCCAATGAGGGCGACACGGAGGTCGGTCAGTAGTACCGGTCAACCCTTATTTTGCAAGCACCAGCGAAACGTAGCGGAAGGACGCCGAAAGCCGCTCCCCTCTGTTAGCTTTGTTGACGCCTTGCCTTGACACAAGTAGCAAGATGCCTTTGCCTACGGTTGAGAAGGCTTTGGGGGAATTTTTCATGCCAAGGATGAAAAGGATCTCTGTAAATATGAAATATACGTTGAGCATGACAGCAACCCACTCCCATGGTTGAGGAATGTGGGGTCTACCGGCGATGGACGTCTCACGCCGGCACACTGTCTCTCCCTCTCTTTTGTTGGCCTGTCTGTCGGTCTCCCTTGTTCTTATCAGGGAGCGAGAGGCGAAGGACAAGGAGTGGGAGGAGAAAAAAGCGGCAAAGAAGGCTGAGGAGAAGAAGGAGAAACGCCGCCGGGAAAAGGCCGGGAGCGACGACGATCAGGTACGGTGTGTAGCTCACTTTCAAACAAGCAGCCGTGCTGATGACTGGAGTTGAACATTTTTGTTTCAGACGCGAGGCGAGGCTGTTGCTAAGTGTTTCGTTGCGAGGAAGTGCTACGGAGGCACCACACAGGAATGGCACGACGACGCATGATCTGGTGTATCCGATGGTATTCCTTGTGGCAGTGGATGAGAGTACGCGTTTTTTCGTCAACAGGCGAAAGGCGTGCGCATGGTCTCTTGACATATCCACGACACCAGTTTTTTTTTTTTTAATGCAACAGACGTGCATCCTGGTTCTTGGGGTGCGGGTGGATGGTGTGTTTTCTCGTTGCCGCCGCCGGTACGTCTGCGTGGCCTGTTCGATATTGATGTCATTCATCAAAGTCAATTTTGTTCGCACCCGACCACTCTTTTTGCTGATGTTGGTGTTTCCACGTAATGGGGTGTTATGTCCTCTAGTATGCACTCCGCTACTCCTCAACAGGAAGCAGGCCGAATTGCCGTGGTGGTCACAAGCCATAAAGAGGTAGACATGGGGATCAAAATACAAACACACGGGCTACAACCGCCGAACACTAGCAACAAGACGGATGTCTCTGGAATAGAGCAAGTCCAGAACAGAAGGGCAAGGAGGAGTGCGCCGCCCCTTGCTTTTGTTCTTCTGTTTCTTGGTCCTGTAAGCTTTTCGCTGGGTACGGTGCATCTCAAACTCGGGTGGACGCCGGGCCCACTTCCTCGCAACGGCACTTTAAGTCCTTAATGGGCGAGCTCATGTGGGAAACAACAGTGACAAACGCCAAAGAACAAACAGCAGCCTCGCGTTCACACTCATTGTCTATGTACCACACCGCGATATGATCAGAACGGTCAGGAGGGAGGATCCAGGAAGGGGAGCAGCAGACGCGGCGACTCGCAAGAAGCCGAGCGTGACAGCATGATGGCCAAGGTGAGGACCGAAATATTGTCGAGAAGGATTTCGGCTTGCGGTTCTATACCTTGCCCGTGCAACCGAGGTGGTGGGTCGGACAAATTAATTCTACCCGTGGGAGATATCACCACAGTCGAAGGGGATGTGCTGAAGTCTTTGCATCGAGAAGAGGGAAAACGGCTGGAAACTGGGCTTATTTTGAGTCTGTTGCTTTCGGCAGTGGCGCGTCCCATATATGCGGAACGAAGGAGCTTCGTTGACTGTACGACCGCGCACATAGTTGCGTCCCGGCGGGTCTGTCAAATATGTTGCATGTTCCCCTTCGACCCATCCTTTGCCCAGCCCACCCTACCCCCCTCCCGTAAATCGAATGGACCCACCGGCCTGACAGAGAGCCGAACGGTTCGGCGCCAGCGCTAACGAGCCCAGAGGATCCTCCAACAACGACCGCAAAGGGCGCGGACAGTTCCGTGCCGGGGGCCCCGGCAACAAGAACAACGATAGGAGGGGGGGGGGGCGCGACGGCAGGGATGGAGACAGAAGGCCCTCGGAGATGAACGTCAAGGATGCACTGGCGGGGGGGTTGTCGGCTCCTCGTCGGGGGTCTAGGCGCGACCGGGCTAGAAGCGAGGACGAAGGGCCGCGGGATGTCGTCATCCACGTGGATGGCGAAGACGGCGGGGTTCGGGGGCGCCCCAGGCTCGGCAACGGGCGGAACGTCCACGTGCGCGTCGCCGGGGAAGGAGGCCGGGGGGACTCCGAGGACTCGCGGTACCGCGGCGACCGGGGTCGGGGGTATGATGATGACAGTGATTGCGAAGGGTCGGGGCGCGAGGTTATCGTGGTGACTCAATCGGGTGTGGACGAGAACGACAGGTGGCAGGCGGACGAGAACGGGGTCTTCGCGGAGGATGGTCTGGGGGGGGGGCCCGCAGCCCTCGCCTCCGCCACTACCACCACCCCCCACTCCCCCGCTGACGACGACCTTCGCGGAAGGATCAAAGGCCGCGACCGTCGGGGCGTGGAAAGCGAGTCCCCCCCCCCTCGAAGGAAGGCCGCTCTCGCTCCCTCTGGCGGAGATCTGCGGGAAAGAATTTCCGGTCGGGGGCGCCGCGGCATTGAGTCTCCGCCCAAGAAGCAGCGCCGCAAGCGCTTGCCGTCCCCCTCGGCGAGCGACGGCGACGGAACCGGCGGCGCGGGGTCCCCGGCCCGGCCGGCGAAGAGGGCGCCGGCGGCGGAGGTCGGCAGCGATAAGCGCAAGCGCGGCGGGTCTCGGGACAGCGGCGGGAGGGGCGCCGACAAGTCGCGGGGCGACGTTGGTAGGTCTGACAAGGGGAGAGGTGGAGGAGACAGGAACGGTAGCGGCGGCAGAGGCGGCGGCGGTGGGAAGGGTGGCAGGCGGCGGTCTCGCAGCGAGGAATCGTCATCCTCCTCTTCGTCTTCATCGTCATCGAGCTCTTCGTCTTCTTCCTCCTCCTCCTCCTCCTCGTCCTCTTCGTCGTCATCGAGCTCTTCCTCGTCCTCCTCCTCCTCTTCTTCGGAGTCACCTGTTCGCTCCTCTAGCAAGCGGTCCTCCAAGCAGTCCTCCCGCCGGAAGTGATGATTTCGGTCACATTTAATGGTAAAATTCTCAACACGTCTTGTTGGTCATGGCGGGGGCTGGCAATGAGTATGGTGGGTCAGCTCCCCGTGGCTTGAGGCGAGCGAGAAGTGAACAACTGGTCTGTTCCCGGACTCCGGTTGTGTAGTAGGCCAGCTCCGTCCTATGTTGTTCAGGGGAGTCGAGGGAGTTTGGTGTCGGAGTGAGCGGTGTCCCCTTTCGTCCTATGTGCATCATCCCCCTCCCTCATTCCCCACGGGAAACAAGCCAAACGGAGGGATTTCGGCTATTTTAAGTGTAGACGTACTTCGAACAATGGCGGAGTAGCCCTTCGTGTCTACGCATGGCCGTTTGTTCTGGGGCCGCCCTGCAAAAAGTTGTTCTTTTTCATCGTGCTGTAAAAGATGGTTCCCACCCGGCGCTACCTTGAGGGAGGGTATTCGAGGCAAACGGGTTTCTCCACAAAATGGTTTCGTCTAGTTCTTTTTTTTTGTTGCAGCGCGAGCAGCAAGAACAGCTGTGGTCTGTGTCTCGTTACCCTAGTCTCCAGAAAACGCATTTGGAGTTCTTGGAGGTAGTCCTCTTGATGCAGGCAGCCGGGGAGGAGAGGAAAAAGGAGATGCTAGCTAGAGGATGTGCCCATGAGAAGCTTCTGAGTATGGTCTCGTTGTCACCGGCCGTTGCCGTGTGTTACCCTTGCGAGAGCGCTGTGTATGCTGGTGTTGGAGTTGCTACAGAAGTAGTGGGAAGAGAGGGAGGGTTGTCAAACTTCTCGTGGGAAGAGAAAGATGATCATCCCTCCAGGGGAGACATATGCGTGCGAGCTAGGCGCCACTTGTGGCTTGGATGTCAGGGTTGGGTGGCTGATGCTGGACGAGTCTCCAAACCGATGATACATGAATACAGCAAGAGCTGGTCTTCAATGAAATGGTCATTTTTTCTGTGCTGTTGTTCCTTGTTCAACTCCCGGCGGGTTTTGGAACCCCGCGAAGTGGCGCTGAGTAGATGCGGCCAAGCATGTCGGGTCGGGTTGCCGGACATGTGTGGATTGCATCCCTGGCCGGTACTGGAACCGCTGGTGTTGTCTGCAGGCTCTGACGAACGAATGCAAGAAGAAATATCGAAAAAATATTCATGAATCGTTTCCCCGAGTTGGCGGTCTGTGGGGAGCCAAACAACACTTCGCTTCACTTTACCACAATCTGTTTCATCTGGAAGACAACCGGTGCGTGAGGTAGGCCCCCCTCTGGGAAGAGGCAACGGGGTGGGCTTGGGCGGGATGTACCAACACCATCACATCCTGTCCAGCAGATCGATCTCAGTGCTTTTAAAGCATGGCGCCGAGCTAATGCCCAGCGTTGATCTTGGGAATGCAAGAATGCGCTCTAACATATATTTTGCTCATGCTGCTGCTACAAACCACACTCCTCTCTGCAGGAATGCACCGATTATCCGACGCATCTTGCACCAAATCGAAGTCATGAGCGGGGGCGGACAAAAATATAACAAACAAGCTGCTTACAAGCGTAATGCCGAAACGCTGCGCACACACGCACTCCGAGATATCTTGCATCTCACGCCATCCCTCGTTATAGCCACGGATTCTCGTTGCTACGCACAACAAACCTTGCGGCACATTACTTCTCGAACCACGCTCAGGCGACTCCTGTAAAAAAAAAAAAGCCAGCAAGGACAGACAGCTCCATCGTGCTTTCGACCTGCAGAACAAAACCAGATAACTCCCGTCATTCACCACAAGCAATCCTCCATAACCACCAACGCCAAGGGCATCTCAACCGGAGCTTCACGGTTGCTAGTAATACTACCCATACATCCACACAAATTAAATAGCTCGTTGGTAACGCACAAGAACAGCACGAGCTCTTATGGTGTGACGGGCGCGCACATGAAGGCATTTCATTCGTACTATTAAAGGTCGTTGTTTCCTTCACATTAAAAACCGTTCCGGTCTCCGCTGTCTCCGCTTAGTACCTTCGAATGTCCGTGATGGTCCAACTGACGCGGAAGCCTTCCGCGGTCACAAGCCAACTGCCCCCAAAGGGGGTGCACCTTTTTAAAAAGATAGGTGCCGCCTGTGATCCAAGCACAAGAGGCGTCCCCTTCCCGTGAAAAGCCAGCGTCACGCTGATGCTACTGCTGCTGATGCTGATGCTGCCTCTGGCGTGCACCATGGGCGACTCCATTCGAGCGTGGGGAAGCTAGAGGCCGGAGAAACCACCAGGGCCAAGCCGTAGCAGTCAAACTTTGCGCGAGTACCTGCGACAACAGTACGCGAGTGCGTCAGGACAGCCATCGAAAACACGCTTGGGTCATCCGTGGCTGCGAGCCATAAGAGCGTGGTGCCATATTCAAGGCGATCTGGTCCCAAGATTCGGCGGAAGGAACTCGCGTCAACCAAAAATGAAGGAGCAGACGGCACATGTCTCGGGTACATGTCTGAAAGTCTCACGACGAGATCGCTCAACTACGCGACAACAACAGACGGCATGGTTCTGCGCAGACGGATGAGAAACGTCAGCCCAAAAGACACACAGACCTGTATCGAAGGCACCACAAGATAAGTATATAGTCGGCGCAAAGTCCGCTACTAGGTACACGTCAGTCAAAGCCACAACTCCTGTAAGTCCACACCCAAACCCCGACACAACATTAAATACACGGCGAGCGTCATCGTACCATAGCCCCACCCACCTAAACAGGGTCTTCAACAGAACACCACGCGTCCCAGGCTTTCGTCTCAGCATCGGGGACATGGCCTGCAGCGGTGTTGCCACCGCCGTTGAAGCCGTCTCGATCTCTGTGCTCCCTGTCGCTTGGGCGATGCGGGGGGACTCACTGCTGGCCCACAACCAAGAGACTGCATGAACGGCCTCCGCCCGCGAAAGAAGGCAGCGAGTTTCCTTCAGCCTCTGCAGCTGCTCCTTGGTGGCGGCTTCGCCGTCGACTCTCCCCTCCCGCAACAAACGGGTCGTGAAAGCCAGCGGCGTCTCGCTGGTCTTTTCCCACCGAGGGGTAATCCTCGTGACTCCGACGGCCCGCGTCGTGTTCGCTCCGGCATCAACCAGCAGCCGCACGATCTTGGGCGAGCAGAGCCGGCCGGCGCCGACGTCGACGGCGCACATCACCGGCGTTCGGCCGTAAGGGTCCCTGGTGCCGTTCACGTACGCGTCGGCGTCATCCTGGCGCCGCCGCAAGAGAAACTTGACCGCGACGGCCCGACCGTTCTCCGCGGCAAGAATGAGGGCCGGGCCTGTGTCGACGACGCCGGCGTCCAACAACACGGCCATGAACTCGAGATGCTCCTCGTCAGCAGCCTGACGCAAGGCTTCTACGCCGCCGCTTGGGCCGCCACATCCTCGGATGCCGACCTGTCGTATCATCTCCCGCGCTACGTCCGGGTTCCCGTGTAGCGCCGCCATTTCCAACGGGACGTAGGATACCCCCATCGGCGTGTGCGAGCACAAGAGCGGGTCTGCCTTCGCGCGCAAGAGGACCCCGATGGTGGCCGCGTGCCCGTTCTCGGCCGCGAGGTACATCGGCGTCGCTCCGTCGGGCATGCGGCAGTCAACCTTCGCGCCGGCGTCGACCAGCGCTCGGATCACCTCCGTGCGCCCCTCGTTGGCGGCCAGATGAAGAGGCGTATTGCCGGCGCGGGTGGTAGCGTCGACGCACGCGCCGGCCTCGATGAGCATTTTGGTTATGGACAGCTTCCCACCCTGGGCCGAGATGTGTATAGCCGAATAGCCGCTAGGATCCGCGAGTGATACGTTCGCCCCTTTGCTCAATAGAGTGTTCACAACACCCGGGTGGTCCTTGACCGCAGCTATCATGAGAGCGGTTGCGGCGTTGGGATTGCCCATGTCGATGTTGGGTGCTCCCCTGCTGGAAAGAATCGCGCCTGTCATCTCGACGGAGCCGCCCCAAGCGGCCTTGTGCAACGCGTTCATGGGACCTTGGGTCACCTGCTGTGGGCGAGGCATGACGCCTCTTCTCTGTTGCAGTTGATGCTGAGACAGCATATATATGCGGTAGTCAGGAGGTCCTCAGCGAGAGGCGTAAGTATGCCAGCGCTGGCGAGCGCGAAGCGCGCTCCAGTAGCTCGGTACAGCGACCTAGGCCTACCCACTTCACACCAACATAGCTTGGGGTGTGGGCGTGGTTAGGGTAGGATGCCGCTTATAGAGAGACGATCGGTGCTAGGGAGCGCTGTAATCACGCCTCACGCACCCGCCCCCCGCCAACGGATACGTTCTATGTGCCCCCCACAGACACGGCCTTGCACGCTCCACGGCCGGGCCCCCCTACTGCTTGTGCATCCTGCGTACGTACCAGGAAGCCGACTGTGCATCGATCATATGGATTTATTTAGTGTACATTGGGGCAAATTTCCACCTTTCCTTCTTTCAGAGGGGGCACACTGTCTGGAATGTGAGATTTTTTTGCCCCAAGAACAAGAGCGGCGCGATTACATCGCACTTTTCACAACACCACACCGCATCTCATAGAAGCGAGAGGCAAAGCGCCAAACGGCGGCGGCAGTGGGGCGGCCAATCGTCAGCCCAGACTCGATCATCATGTCTTCAGCAGGAACTGGATCACGAGGTCGCGGAAACTACGGAAGGGCCGACAGAGGCAGGTCGGATAGATACGAAGCGCCCACACAGCAGCCGTTCCGGGCCCTATGTATGGACGGCATCAGAACGCGGGACACATGAGGATCTCATCGCAGTTAGTCTCGACCTGAATCCTTATGGATTTGATCACTTCTGCGCTCATTGCGATCAATCGGAGGAGAGGCTCGAGCGGCGAGTAAGTTACGATAGCCACGGCACAGTGGGCAACAGAGGCGTGGGTGGGAAAGAGCCGAGTTCAAGCCGTGGTAGCTCCCAGAATCCATACATGAGCTCACAAGTAGCAGCCGCAGCCGCAGCAGCAGCAGCAGCATCCGCTGGAACTGGAGTCCCCCACGCAGCAGGAGCAGAAGTAGCAGCAACACTGTCGGGTGGCATATCTGAAGGTAGAGGGGCGGCGGCGACGTCGGCGGCGGCGGGGGCGCCTAGGATTATTTCATCATGTTGTAATTCTGGTCAATTTTCTAGACTTCACGACAGACGGTTACAGCTGGTGCCGGATCTTCAGCCGATGACCTACGTGGCGTGGGCGCCGGTGACCCTTGCGGCGTGGGCGCCTCGTAGTCGGCATCCAGTAGATACACGGAGGAAGAACCCATGGACGAAGATGAAGAGTGCGTCGACGGAGAAGAAGCGCCGGAAGAAGAGGCAAAGGAGGGAGATCGGAAGCGATGGATGAATGTCGAGTTACAAACTGCCATCGTGAAACAAGCGAGGACGGTCTTGGACACTCTCCCCAAGATCGCCGGCAACGGCACGCTGACTCCACCACAGTGGATGAAGGAGCGGCATCTGCCGCCCAAGTATGTAGCGGCAGCGTTTAATCGACGTTTCCCTGACGCCCCGATATGCCGGCCCGCCGACAGCCTGGAGAAGCGCGCCGCTGCGGCGATGAAAGCGGCGAAAGTAACACCAGCGATGAGTGCCCGGGTCGAGAACGGAGAGATCATTGATGTGCTTTTGAAGGAGTCGGTCATGGCCGTTTTCGCGACGACACAAGTTGTGTTCGCTCTCTACGTGCACGAGGTGGTCTTCTTGGAAGAATTGGTCGGCATTCCAGCTATCCAGGCAAGTGCATGAATGAGCGAAGGAGCCGATGACGGTACCCGACCCTTTTGGCCTTTGTAAGATGTTGCGCGTGCGTGCCGAAGGTGCGTGCTGAAAGATGAAAAACAAACACAACAAGTCGTCGCACATTCAAATTGTTGTTGTGACTAGTTTTCTGTTGATAATAGTGCATTTTGGTTGTCACGGATTACAGTGTTGGCACGCTCATGATCTATCAGCTCATGCCAATGTCGACGTTGTTGGTCGGTATGCCCCCCTCCCTTCCGCTGCGGCAAGCCCACAACTCTTGTTTGAAGTTTGCATGACGGGAACCTTCAGAAGTTCTGACAGAAAGCGCCGAACTCTGTTTTGTGGGTGGGAAGTTTTGCTCTTGATGAGACCTGCCGCCGCCGCACTCAAGAGTCTCTGTCAGTGATTAGCCCTCTCACCTCACACAAGGGACACCGCCTGAACAGAAACGAGCATCGGAACAAGGCCTGACGTAAAGAACCCTCCCCCCCTGTGTTGATTTCTTTTCAGATGACAACCCCCGGCGGGGCGAAGGGAGTCAGGATGATCGGTCCAGGATGCAAATCGAATTCGGAAGTGAAACCTCCTGGAGTATCAGGGCATGACTTCCCAAATGCGGGTGCTCAAAAGGCAATCAGAACGTTTGCGGTATGAACTTGTTTTTCGACTTGATTTCCTGTTTGTTTTGGTTCGCTGTTGGTTGTTGTCTCTGTTGCTTGTGAGCCGTCCGTTTATCTCGGTAGTCCCGGAAGAGTAATATGTTGTAAGAACATGCGCGCTTAGTCTTTCCGCCCTTCTCATTTCCGACACGTTCTGAATGCAGTCTTTCTCCATATTTTTCTCTTTGAAATTAGCCGTCTTTTTACGTCAGATACGCGCGGTACCCGACGTTGGCAGGGTGGTGGTTCCGTTGGCGGGCAGGTATTCCTGCACGGCCTCAGGGTGCCCTCTCGTCTTGGAAAGTGCCAAGAAGGCGGCCAACAAAAAAAAAGTGGTTATTGCGGATGACGGGTGGGACGAGGCCACCATCCGCGAGCATTGCCCAAACGGCGGTTCCTTTACCACAATGGACGACAGGTACGGTGATGATTTTATTTAAGCGTGTAGTTTTTAGCTTCAATCTTGGCATCGCATTGCAGTGCGAAAATAACACGCACAAGGATCGCCAATGCTTACATGTTCTCACTCGGTCACTTGACCACTGAAATTGGGCAGGTACATGCAGTTGCCACCTGAGGAGATTGTCTCGCGATTGCCTTTTCGCTACTTTAGGCAAAATGGCACGTCAGAGACTCTACTGGACCAAGTGAGGGCGACGGAGGGCGATCTGCAGGTTCAACCCTAAGCTGAAAGCGGTACCGTTTCTTTT